CACACGCGCTCCTGGGACCAGCTCGGTCCCCCGCGGACCTCAGTTTTCCATCTGCCACGTGAAGGTTCCTGTTCCACCACATGGTGGGAATGTCCCTCTGGCCTCTCACGTTCTGCAAACCCACAGTACTCGAACGTGGTGGTGCGAGTGGGACCGGCACCCAGAGAGCTGCGTCCGGCGTGCTGCCCAGGGTAACAGAGGCTCTCTCTGGAAGGCTCGCTCTCCCTGACGGGCCGGTGCCCATGGACACGGGTGTTCTCCTAGCACGCGCGCAGGCAGAGAAGGACCGGACTCGCCTCAGGGAATGGGGCGAGGGCTGCTGGGGCCGAGCAGGGGTCTGGCCGCCCTGACTGGGCCACAGAAGCCAGCGCCTGGCCCGCTTGGTACCTGGCCACCTCACAGGGGACCACGGTCCTCGTCCCTCTTCAGCAAGATCCGCTCCCCGCGCTGGGGGGGGGAGCTCTGCTCAAACCTCCCCTCCTCCGAGAAGTGTTTGCTAACCCTATAAAGGTGGTGCGCCCCTCCTCCTCTTCATTCCCCTCATATTAGCCACTTCACTGCTGCGGAGCGCTTACGCATCTGTAATTACCTTGTCCATGTACCTGTTTACTTGCTTATGGTTAGTCTTTCCCAGCAGAATCTAATTTGCCAGCTTGGTCACCGCCAGCTCCTACCGTAGGGCTCAGCACAGGAGACGTTCAGGGAGTGGGCGCGGGGCGAACGGGGCTCCCGGAGGAGCTGGCGGGATGGGACTGGAAGGACACAGCACAGGCAGCAGTCTTTTTTTTTTTTTTTTTTTTTTTTAAGAAAAATGAGTCTTCAGAGAAGCAGCCAAGGTTGAAGACTATCTTTGGAAGAGGGCATGGGGAGTGGGAACCGAGAAAGGGGCATGGTCTCCTTCACTCACGCTTCTTATCCCCTGAGCTTTCTTTTCCCACGTCCAGTTTTCTCCCCAAAGGTGCTTCACATTTTTTGTGCAGGCTCTTCCATTTCTTTCCCACTGCATTTACAAGTCACCTCCTCCAGGAAGCCTTCCTGAAATCATTTGCACTCTTTCTCCAATCTGTCAACATAATCCTCAACCCACTCTTCCCCACTCAACGAGCCTTTAAGAGGCGGTAATGACAGACCTCGGGCGATGATGGGCGCACCTGTGTGCATGACCACACTCACTAATTCAGTTGTGGTGGATTCTGTACCTGCCTTGTCACACTCCCTAAGGGCAAAGACCATGACTGCCCTGTCCCCCAGTCTCTCAAACACCTCTTTGTACCTATCTCTCTCCCTCGAAGGCTCCCGAAGACTTGTAGACTCTGAAAGGATGGGGGTGTCCCTGAAATGGAGGAGAGACAGACTGAAGGATAAACAAAAATAGAAAGAAGCAGGAAGAGGAGGAAAGAGCCCAGCACTAGGCCGAGGCCGCACGCCCAGCACGCCCCAGTCTGTGCCTGGGTAGGCACTCCCCCAGCACCCAGCACCCTGAGGAGACATCCTGAAGGGCTGGGGACAGGTGTACAGGAGAAACCTGCATCGGCGTGGCGCCAACGGAGGCAGGATCCAGGCATGGGCAGCGGCAAGCCAAACCCACACACCAGTAGTCACCTCCCCCCACCCCACTCTCTGGGACAGAAGGAGCCCCAAACGGGGATGAGAAGGTCAGGGGCAGAGTTGTTAGGGCTTCTGGTGACGGGGGGTGATGGCCTTGAGAAGGGAACATTTCCTGGCCGTGTCCACCCCTCCTGTTCCCCGCTGTACTCCGTGTCCTGCAGTAAACACCGCAGAAAGGCTGCCGCAAGCTGCGACATGTGTTTGTAGCGGAGGTTGGGGGGACAACCAGACCACAGGCCCAAGCCAGGCTGAAGGCTGTGTCCCATCACACAGGAGTGTCCCCCGCCCCACTCTGGCCTCTGCCAGTGAGGAAGGACTGCGATTGAGGAGGGTAAGAAGCTCGGGCACATTTGAAAGTCTAAGCAGAGTCTGTCAGAAGAGCCTCTCTCCTTGCCCAAGGGGTGGCGGGCAGTTCAGCGACCGGGCACGTGTTCATCGGGACCTGCCATGTGCAAGGCACTGTTCTAGGTTCAGGCCAGCAACGGGAAGCCAGGTTCCTGTTCCCACAAAACTACCTACTGGTGGATAGAAACAGCTCAAAATGTAGGAACAGATCATTTCAGATGGTGAGAAAATCCACAAAGAGAGTAAATCCGGGTAAAGAGATAGTGAGTGCCTTTGAGAAAAACTACTGGAGATAGAGTACTGAAAGACGTCCTCTGGTGGCTATGTCCCGTCTGGGCTGAGCCCTGAAGGACGAGATGGACCCAGTCACGCCCAGCTCTGGAGCCAGAGGGGCCCCCCAGAAGCAGCCACAAGAGCAAAGGCCCGGCTGTGACATCAGCCTTCTATGCTCAAGCACCAAAAACAGAAGACGTCCCAGCAAGCCCAGTGAGATGGGGAGGGCAGGTCCACCTGCCCCACGGGTGAACACTGGAACCAGCTGGAAAGCTTTTAAAACTCCCAATGCTGGGGCACCTGGTGGCTCAATGGGTTGAAGCCTCTGCCTTCGGCTCAGGTCATGATCCCAGGGTCCTGGGATTGAGCCCCACGTCGAGCCCCACATCGGGCTCTCTGCTCAGCGGGGAGCCTGCTTCCCCAACCCCACCCCCACACCGCCTGCCTCTCTGCCTGCTTGTGATCTGTCAAATAAATAAATAAAATCTTTAAAACAAAAACAACTCCTGATGCCTCACACATCCCGAGATTTTGTTTAATTGATCTGAGGTGTGTCCTGGACACGGGGAGTTGAAAAGTTCCCCAGACCATGCTACTACACGGCCCAGAACAGGTACCACAGAAAGGCCCGGGAACCCCCGACAGTGTGGGTATCCGCGGACACCTGGAGCCTTCCCCCAATGCTCCAGGCCCGATCTAGAAAGGACCTAACGTATAACAGGACTTGAGTTGGGGACGGAACCAAGAAAATAAAGCAATCCAAAGGAAGAGAAACAAAGAGAAGGGACCAGGGAAATCCAGAAAACGTGAAGCAGACGGTCCCAAAGGATGAGAGATGGAGGGAAAAGGGAAAGCACTCATATTCCTTTGCTGCTTGTGGCTATAGCATGATCACAGACTTGTGTCTGAACTTCGAAGTCTAAGATGGGTCCCACTATGCTGAAGTCAAGATGTGGGCAGGCCTGGGCTCCTCCCGGAAAACACTGCCTTCCTCCTCCAGCTTCTGGAGACCACCCACTCCCTGTGTTCACGGCCCCCCCTCAGCCCTCCAAGCCCACTGGCGGACTGAGGACCTACCACACTTCTCTCCCCTGCTGTCCTCCCCTTCAGGGGTGCTTGTGATCACGCCGGACCCACTTGGATAACCTCACAATTCCAGACTCAGCAGATCAGCAGCCCAAATGCCATGGGCAAGCTTTATTCCTCTCTGCCCTGAGAAGGAACGCATTCACAGGTTCCAGGAATTAAGACGTGGACGTCTTTGGGGGACCGGAACTCTGGCTAGCACAACATGAAAGCCATTTAGCCCATAGGTTTGGGTCCTGTTTGCTGTGTTTTGCTTGTGTAGCTGTGGGTTTTATGAGCGCTGGGCTGGGAGTTTCGTTCTGGGATAAGAATACATGGGTTTATTTGTGTTGGGTTATCAGGGTGTCCAATTTGAGTGTCTCCCCAGTAAGTATGGAGCGGAGGGCAGGACAAGGATGCCTGAGGGCTGCCTGATCTTTATTGTGTTTTATCTTTATGACGTTTATCTCCATGCGGCTGCCCCATAAAGGCTTACTGCGGCTGGACTGTTGTTCTCATTGACAAGAAAGCTAATGACAGGCTGTCTCTTTGCGTGTTTTCTTTAAGTACGTCTCTCTGTCCCTGAGTAATACTGGCTGTCCGTCCCAGTGACATTCAGCGTGCACAGGAGTATCTGGGCACATCTGTGGCGCCGGCATCGTGGGAGTGCCTCTGTCCGTAAGCGTGGGCGCCGTGGGGAATGTGCACAGGCGCGTTTGCTCAGCAGCACCCGCGATCGCAGTTGTGGGCATCTCCATGTTTACTTCTTCACAAGGCCTCCAGGGGATCCTCACAGAGAGGCCTAGCGTGAGGCGGGCCTGGGCGAGGAACTAGAGAGAGGGGAGAGATGGAGGTGAGGGGCCGGGAAAACACTGAGAAAGCATCTGGAATGGAAGAGGCAGAGGGCGGAGTCACAGCAAGGGCACAGATCAGATCTGGTCTGGCTGCACTCCTGCTTACTCCCTTGCTGTGGGAGCTTGGCCAGGCCATCTCTCCCCACGGCTGTTTACCAAGAGATTTGAAATAGATAACCCCTGGGTACGTCCCAAAGATGGAGAGAGAGACCCGTGGAAATGACAACATACACCAGGAAAAATGGGAAGAAAGAACTAGAAAGAGAGACATAGGAAGAGAGTTCTAAGAGCCCCGCTGGGAGCCAACCAGAGGCAGGAGTGTGGGCGCCTGCTCCCCACCCCTTACCCCAAAGCTTCAGACTGTTCCTAAGCCCTTAATAGGGAAGGCAGGAAGACGGAGAGAGCCGCCTGCGATGACAGCACACACCAGCACTCAGAGGCCTGCGAAGCCACAGGAGCCAGGATCCCTGCGTCTGCCCCCAGCCCCCAGATGTAGGTGTGCCGGCCACCTGTTATGACTCACACCCTGGCGATGCGGGCACCCATGCCAACAGCGAGCCTGGGCCCCTTGCCCACCAGCACAGCACAGGCCCGGGGGGAAGGGGAGATTCAGGCCCCGGAGGGATGACGAGGGGCTGCCCTCCCCACCGGGCGCCGCCTTGCCCCAGGAGCGCCCCCTCCCGACCGCCCCCCCCCCACCCCCCCGGCCTCGAGGGCCCACGAGTCCTTTCCTCCCGCCCTCCTCCCCCAAACCTTACCCGGGAAGCCGGAGAACCAGATGAGCTGTTACGCAAGACCTGTTTACCCGCCGCGGGGGCCTCCTCCTCCCTATAAAGCCCGACGCGGCGGGGAGCGCGGCGGAGCTCGAGCCTGGTGGAGGGAAGCGAGGCTGTCCCTGGAGGGCGTCAGGGCAGCGTCCGAAAGTTCATGCGCCTGCCAGAGAGAGGGTCCCCCAATCCGCCAGCAGCAGGCGTGGTTCGCCGAGCGCGCGCTGGGGGGCGGCCGCGGGGGTCGCGGAAGGGTGGGCGTCCGGACACGCGCTCCCCATGGAGGCGCCCGAGCTGGGCCCGGGGCTGGTGGAGCGTCTGGAGCAGCTGGCGACGTGCCCGCTGTGCGGGGGCCCCTTCGAGGACCCGGTGCTGCTGGCGTGCGAGCACAGCTTCTGCCGCGCGTGCCTGGCCCGCTGCTGGGGCGCCCCGCCGGCCGCCGGCGCCCCGGCGCCCCCCACCGCCTGCCCCTGCTGCGGCCAGCCGTGTCCCCGCCGCAGCCTGAGGTCCAACGTGCGTCTGGCGGTGGAGGTGCGCATCAGCCGGGGGCTGCGGGAGAAACTGGCTGAGCCCGGGGCCCGCGCGGGGAGGCGCAGAGGGGGCCGCATCCCCACCATGGGCTGCCTGGATCCGCACGGAGAGGTAAGGCAGGGTCGCGCATCTCGGATCCGCTGCTGCTGATAGAAGGTGGAGACAGGGGCTTCCGGGGGCGGGGCCCTTATGGAAGTTTAGGCAAAGAATGGATCTGAGAAAAGCAAAGAACGAGGGGGCGCGGGCCTGACCCCAAACCCCTGTAGTGCCGCGAGAGTTTCCAGGAAGGACAAGGAGAAGGAGTTTGACACTCCACCCAGAGGTCGGAGGGCTGGACGGTACACAGGGCCTCCGGAGCTCCTTGACAGAGCGCGAGAGCTGCGGGGGATGCGGAGGGACGCCGCTGCGCGCGGGGGAGGTGGGGACCCGGAGGGAGTCCGTGTGGGCGCGGGGGGGCGGAGGGCCTGCGAGGACAGCGGGGTCAGAACTAGCGAGGGCAGGGCGAGAACCAGCCGGAGTGCAGGGGCAGGGAAGAAGGGTCTGTCAGAGGAGGGGCGCGAGGGAGGGAAAGCAGATCCAAACATCCCGGGAGCGCAGAGGGGTCAGCCGCGGTCTCCCGCCCGAGCCGCGCCGGGCGCTAGTTGTTATTGCCATCCTCCGCTCCTCCCAGGGCCCCCGGCGGGGGCGGCGACCGGTGGAGGCCTGGTCCACGTGCCGCGGGGACCTCTGGCTCTCGCCCCTCATCCCATCCCGCACCCCCACCCCCGCGCCCCTCTTGGCCCCGACTCCTTGGCCATCAACCAGCCCCATTCCCTTGCCCGGCCCCCCAGGCGTCCCGGATTCCTGAGCGGCTTCTCCCCAGCAGCCCAGCCGGTCTCGGGTGTTGCTTCCACACTTTGAAGTCTACACAGACCTAATTAGTCCAGGTGTAATTGGCATAATTGGGCAAATTGCCTTTCCTCTCTTCCCTTCACCACCACCCCGGTCTGCTCCAGTCCTCCCCAAGAGACAGTGACGGGGGCAGGTGGACCCTGGTATTTGGAGGGGGGGGGCATGCGCTGCTCCTCCTGGTTCCCATGGTATCCTGCAGATCCGCAGGACCTCTGGGACACATCCAAGTCCAGCTGCCTCTTTGGCCAGCGTGATGGACACAAAGCAAAGGGCCCAATAAACGCCACCGGGCTTTTATGGCAACAGGGGAAGCAGCTTTGTTAGAAGGCTTTTATGTACCAACTCTTAGCCCCAGGCTCTGAGTGTTTGGTCTGTGTGATGGATTGATGGACGGGAGGAGGACACCCTCTGGAAGGTAGACAAGGACAGGGGACCACTGAAAGAGACAGAATGAGGCTGAGGGAGGCATCAGGAAAGGTAAGGACTCTGGAAGCTAAGTGGGGGCAGAAACAAGGCCTGGACCAGGCTGGGGAAGGGAAAGTGGGGGAAGGAGGAGGGGGAAGGAGGGCAGTAGATGATGATGGATGGGAAGGATGGGCCATGAAAGGGGACAAAGAGGCAGCGAGATCACTTTGAGAGGTGACAGGGAGCTCACCAAGGGAGATCCAGCTGCCTGGAGAAGGGGTAGAGGGGGAGGGGTCCTGAGGACAAAGCCCAGGGCTCACATTGTGTTTTCTTCTGCCCATCCCAGGATATAAGGAAGACATGGAGAAGGTGAGTTCCATCTTACTGTCCCTTCCTTTCCACTACTGGCCACCACATCCATCGCCTTTTCCATGGGCTCACAGCCCCACTCATGGACAGGTTTCTTGCTCCAGAGATGTGAGTGGGGTGAGGGGAGGGCAACAGACGGCAGAGGGTGTCACCTGATTTTGTGACCTTTCTCCCTCATCTGTCCAGACTCGATGCTCCAAGACCCAAGTCATCTAACCCAGAGGACGATCTCCCTGAAGATTACCCAGTGGTGAAAAACATGCTCCACAGACTGACGGGTGAGGAGGGCAGAAGGGACCCCACCCAGGGACGGTCTGTCTCAGGCTTTCTCCCTTTTCTCTCTCAAACCTGCTCAGATGTTTTCTGATGTCTGTATTAGTGTCCTAGGGCCGCTTAGCAGAGCACCACATACCGAGTGGCTTAAACATCAGAAACTTGCTGTTGTGGTTTTGGGAGGAGAAGTTGGCGGGACTGCTTCCTTCGAAGGCCGCAAGGGTGAATCTGTTCTCTGCCTCCCTCCTAGCATCTGGGAGCCTCAGGGGTTCCGTGGCCCAAAGATGGCCTTCTTCCTGTGTCTTCTTTACATGGTTTCTCCCGGTACTCATTTGTCTCTGGGTCCAAATTTCCTCTTCTTATAAAGACTACAGTCATATTGGACTAGGGCCTCCCCTAATGACCTCATTTTAACTTAATTACCTCTGTAAAGACCCTATTTCCAACGAAATTCACATTGTGAAGTACTGGGAGACTGCAACACACCTTCCGGGGGGAACACAACTGGGCACATAACGATGTCCTCAGTACCCACAGCCCAGCATCCTACTCTCCCAACAAACAAAGCATCAGCCGCTTCTGCCCCGTCACATTACTCCTCCCCAGAAGACTTCCCATCTCTCTGAAGCTCCTGGGGAGTTCCCTCTCTGCCCACTACCAAAGCTGCCCTCTGCCTTTATTCAGCTGCCAGAGGGCCGCCTGTCTGGCTACATCTGTGGAGCCTGTGTCTCTTGATCGCAGGGCTGTGAGTTCAAGCCCCATGCTGGATGTCGGGATGATTTAAACATAAAATCTTAAAAATCAACAAAAAAACCTGCCAAAGACACTCTACCATCTTGATCACCCACCATCTCCCCCAACACAGATTGCTTCTAGCACCCCCAATCCAGAAACCTTTCCTCAAAAGCAAACCCCACACATGGCCACGAATACTCCGGTCCCTCTGGCTATCATCACTGCCCCTTTCCTCTTCTGTCCCATCTTCCCAAAGCAACAAGCTGGTCCATTCCCACCTGCCCTTGGGGTCCCAGTGTCTGTCCATCCTTCCCTTCCCAGCCACCTTCCCCACCCCGCAGACGCAGCTCCAGGCCCACCCCAGATAAAGCAGAGGGAGGTACCAGTCCTTAGGCCTCCCTGCAAGTTGGACTGGCTCGGCTTCCCCCCACCCCACACACAAAGGCGAGGCAAGCTCTCCTTCCACCTTTGCACTGTACCCACCCCCACGGTCACCACAGTCCTTGTCCAAACCCAGATCAACACAAGCGGAGCGTGGGTGCAGGCTGAGAGCTGCCCACGCCCTCCCTTTTCTAGACCTTGCCCCACTTAGGCTTCCGTGGCTTTGAGCGCTGCCGCGAGGCCTCCTTCGTGCCCTCTGCTGCACACCGTCTGTCTCCTCCCGCCTCTGAGTCGGAAAGCCCCTCAAGCCCTCCTTTCCTGCCTTTCCCCACGCAGCGGACCTGACCCTGGACCCTGGCACCGCCCACCGCCGCCTGCTCATCTCGGCGGACCGCCGCAGCGTCCGACTGGCCCCCCCAGGGACACCCGCACCCCCCGACGGCCCCGAGCGCTTCGATCAGCTCCCCGCGGTGCTGGGCGCACAGGGCTTTGGGGCCGGCCGGCACTGCTGGGAGGTGGAGACCGCCGAGGCGGCCTCTGGCCCGGACTCCTCCGGGGAGGACGAGGACGACAGCGAGAGCCGCTACGCCGTGGGTGCGGCCGGAGAGTCGGTGCGTCGCAAGGGCCGCGTGGGGCTGTGCCCCGCGGGGGCCGTGTGGGCCGTGGAGGGCCGCGGCGGCCGCCTGTGGGCCCTCACGGCTCCCGAGCCCACTCCACTGGGCGGCACCGGGCCCCCGCCCCGCCGCATCCGCGTGGACTTGGACTGGGAACGCGGCCGCGTGGCCTTCTACGACGGCCGCTCGCTGGACCTGCTCTTCGCCTTCCAGGCGCCCGGGCCCCTGGGGGAGCGTGTCTTCCCGCTGCTCTGCACTCGCGACGCCCGCGCCCCGCTCCGCATCGTGCCGGCGGAAGGCTGAGTCCTACCCACACCCGCCACCAGCAGCCTCCTAGGCGCCAGGCCATCCGCGCTCATCCACACGGCCTCTGTGTCCACATCCACACCCGAAGCCGAGTTCGGACGCGGTGCCACGCCACCTCGGGCTACTTCCTGCCTCACCTCTCCCCTCCTGCCTTATGTTCGTCCACACTGGGACGCTCCGGCAAGATGGATACAAAGGGCCTTACTGCCTGCTCAGGCCTCTCCCCGTCTGGAGGAAACGCACAGTCCTTCTCCACAGCTCGAAGCCTCAGGCTTCCCTGTCCTGTCCAATCTGAGCTCCCTCTTCAAGACTCTGGCCTGGGTCCCAGGGCCTCCTAGGAGGCTTACTAAGCTTTCTGAGCAGGGGGCAGGCAGCTCTACTCCATGAGGCCTGCTTTCCACACTCATAGCCTTTCCCCCTTTGGAACCTTCTCAAGACCCCCCCCCCCCCCCAATAAGGAACCAGTGGTGCTATCGCTCTCTCCTCTACCTGGGAATGGCCCAGACACCCAAGCTGTTCCTCATCTACGGCTTCACATCTTTCTCCATATGTATAAATGGGCCCATATTTAACACGTTTTATGATGCTGGGTTATTTATTTTGTGCATCTGTGGCAATAAATGAGATCTCAGTGGTGGTACGTTTTTGACTCATCTTTGCAACTGTGCATGGCAAGAAGCCGAGAAAATGATGGCAAGATCCCAGTAAGGAGTGGGGAGGGCTGAGAGCTGGACATCTGGGCTGGCAGAAACATCAAAGCCTAGGAAGGAAGGGTAAGAGTGTAGTATAGGGGACATATCCCCATCTCTTTGCTCCCTCTCTTTTCCTTCCTCTCCTAGGGACCCAGGGCCCTGACACTATGCTGGATCTGTCTCTGAAGCCAGAAGACGGAGGAGACAGTGGGCTCTAAGTGACCAGTCTTCAAGATGGCTTTGTTGGAAATCCTGTATCCTATGAGAAGGATGAGAAGAGGCCATGACTGTTTCCTTTTCCATTTCCCATTAACAGTGAGAAAGCAAAGACCCCTTTCCCAACTCCTCCGGAGGGCAGGAGAAGGGAAGGGCTGGGAGCTCCCTGAGAGCGCTGAGGTCTCCCACGAGGCCTCCCATCCCACAAGCAAGGACTAGAAGTTCCGATTATATAAGTCCATTCCTGGAAGACCTCAGAGCCAGGATTAACAAGCATAGCTGGGACAAGACTGCCCCCAATCTGACTGGGACCCCTGGCAGTGAAAGCTAGGGCTGCTGAAAACCCAAGTTAAGTGTTTGGGACTCAAGGGGAGAATGCAAGGGGCCAAGATAATTGCATCCCAGGACAGACAGTTTGGCAGTGAGAACAACGGGGACAGACTGGGACCAAGGTGCCTGGATCCCTGGAGAACAGAGGATGAGTACTGGAAGGAGAAATGAGTGCTGGGGGAACCCAGAAGTCTGGGTTCTGGAGTAGCAGCAAGTCAGAATTCCAGGATCTCTGTCTACCCTCCTCTCCCCCTTCCCTTCATCAGGCAGAGGAGAGGGGAGGAGGGGGCTGGAGGAGGGATCAAACCATGGGTTTAATCCCCAGGTAGCCACATGAATACATTCAGGGCCAGACAGACACAGGAATGGTGGGGGACAGAGGAATTTAGTGCTGCATTGGCCCTGGAGGGGGCTGGGAGGGGTCAGGAGGCTGGGGAGGGGTACTGGGGCTCGGTCCTGGGGTTGCACGACGCCGTCCTTTGCGGTGGCCCCGTACACAGTGTGTATGACCACAGCCCTCCTCTTCCTCCTCATCACTCTCCGTGGAGCTCTCGCCAAAGGCCCGAGGTTTCTCGTAAATACAGCAGCCTGGATTTGGAAGGAGGAGCCCGGTAAAAAAGGAGCAAAAGTTAGGATGGATGTACAGTTGCTTCCACTCCCATGGATCTCAGTAAAAAGTCCTACTTCCACCATTGGCTCCTTCTCCCTTCCAGGATCCAGCTTCCCCAGGGCCACCCCCTGTGGCTGAGGCACCCAAACCCCTGTCCTTTCTGCCAGGAACCCAACGCTCCACTTCTCCCTGGTTCTGATACCTCTTGCCTTCAGGCCTCGGCATATTCCCACCTCACTCCCTCTACTTGAACCTCATCTCCCTGAAGCCAGGGACAGGACCGCAGGCCGCGCCAGAGCACTGTGGCTGCTGGTGGCCAACGATCACTCACATTTTGATGAGCGGCGGCCCATGTGTTCGTTGTCCACAGTGTCACTTGTCCATTCTACCTTTTTCTCTGGCTTCCGTTTCCGAAGCTTGATGGTCAGGCTCCGGTTCTCCTGGAAGGTGAAGAGGGATGGGCATACCTATCTAGTTCCCCAGGGCTGATCTTTCCCACTCCCTCCAGGGGGCCTCCTCTCTTCCAGGCCCCAGTTCAAGCAGAGGCACAGACATGGCAGCAGAGGAGCTGCATGCTGGGAGGGGACAGAACACGACAGGTCTTTGCCCTCCAGGAATTCCTGGGGAATCGAATGTTCTCCATTACTGCTCAGACACAGAGAAGACACAATTCCTAACCTAAGGAAGGTCCCAACAACTCTTCAAACGAAAACATAATCCTCCCTGTTTCTGTCTTCCTCCCCAAATTATCCTTGGTGGTCTTAATACTTGAATATTATTCACTCAGTCCCCCATACCCACTCTTGATCTCCCTTTTTCCAGACCTCTCTCAAGCCTGCGCCCCCCGCTTCCTGCCCACCTACTCCCTAGCACCCTGGCATCTCTATCATTCGAAACACCCTTAACCCAGGGGCTCTGAAGCCCAAGACACCTCCGCCCTTTGAAAGCAACTTAACCTATTTTTTGCAAAATGCTACTCCTTTCTCTATTTTCATCTCTTCTGTTTTCTCAAAATACTATCTCCACCTCCTCTGTCTTGTTCTCTCCTTTCTTCTATTTCCTTTTAGAGTCACCATTCAACAAATACTTATTGACAAGTGTGCTTCTGGGCAAACTGCCCTCCAGCGGGCCTCCAGCCATGCTTTCTTTCTTTTTTTTTTTTTTTTAAGATTTTATTTATTTATTTGACAGAAATCACAAGTAGGCAGAGAGGCAGGCAGAGAGAGGGGGAGAAGCAGGCTCCGTGCTGAGTAGAGAGCCCGATGCGGGGATCCATCCCAGGACCCCGAGATCATGACCTGAGCCAAAGGCAGAGGCTCAACCCACTGAGCCACCCAGGCGCCCCCCAGCCATGCTTTCTCACAGAATCCTTCATCGTCCCCCAGCACCTCCCTTGCTCCTCAGTCCCCCACGTCCCATGCTTGGGTCTCACCACCACCCTGGGCAGCATCCCCCACATCCCCACTCGGACTCTGCTCCATGTCCCCACCCTGGGCAGCATCACCCACATCCCACTCGGACCCTACTCTATGTCGTCTGCCCGGACAGCATCCCCCGCATCCCCACTCTGACCCTGCTCCATGTCCCCTCTCTGACTCCCTATTCCCTGTCCCCACCCCAGGCAGCATCCCCCGCACCCCCAGTCTGGTCCTGCTCCGTGTCCCCACCCCGGGCAGCATACCCCGCATCCCCACTCCGACCCTATTCCACGCCGCCTGGCCGGTCTCCTGCACCATCCTGGCCACTGCGCAAGTCCCGCACACCGTGCACGTCTCCCGACCCCAGGGGTCAGCCCGCTCCTCCCAGAGCCCCAGCCGCTCCCTCCCGGCCTCTCCCGAAGACCCCGAGGAGCACCGCCCCCCCCGCCTTTCTCACGGGCTCGGTTGTCACGGTAACCGTTGTCTCAGTGACGGTCTCACTCAGCCCGGCCCCTGCCTCGGCCATGGCTAAGGCTGAGGAGAGGGAGGAGGGGAGGAAGGGGGAGGAGACGCCCTTCCCTTTCTCTGGGTCTCTGGGGTCTAAGACAATCGGGATCGGGTTCAGAGTAGCAGCCAGGATCCTCCACCTTCTTTTTACCCCCTCCTCCTGGGCCTTCGCTTCCCCACCCCAGGGGATAACCTGTCCAACCCCACTTCCGGCTCTCTGCTTCCGGGTGTGACGCACTCTGTAGGTCCCCTTTTCCCTTCCCGGGCACTAAAGGCGTCTAAGCGCACGCGTCGCCAGAGTAGTTCCGCCGTCACGTGAAGGTGCGCAGGCGCCGCAAGAGGCAGCCCCAGACTTGGCGGAAGCGGCGGCACTGCGGCTGTGGAGCGCCGGCAACAGGCGCACGCGCACGCGCACGCAACAGGCGCACGCGCACGCAACAGGCGCACGCGCACGCGCACGCAACAGGCGCACGCGCACGCAACAGGCGCACGCGCACGCGCAGCGGAGGCGCTGCGGAGGGGCGGTTCGGAGAGGCTGCAGGCGGGGCGCGGCACGTGGGCGGGGCTGCAGGGCTCGGGTGGGGCCGCGTGTACCACGCCCCGCGGCCCGCGGCTGCTGTGAGACGCACGCAGCGCCTGCTTCGGTTTCCCGGCTTCTCGTGGGAATGGGGCTCAGACCCCAGCAGCAGGTGCACGCACCTGATCCGGGGAGGGCTCTGGTCCCGCGCGGGTCTGCGGGCGCCGGGGCGGGTGCTTTTTAAGGCTTCTGCTCGGGCTGTCCCCAGACCGCGCCTAGGAGCCCCCACCCGGTCTGCCGGGGCCTGGCGGACAGGACACTGTATTGCCCACTTCGTCGGGTGGCGATGGGATGCTCTCACAGGAGCACCTGCCAGTGTCCCAGAAGCAAGGTGGGGGCGGGTGCTGGGGGCCGGCAGAGCGCACTGGCTGCCGAGGCGGCTGGGCGGGGAGCCCGGGACCAGACGTAGGCGGCGCTAGGGGCCGGGGAAGGCTGGAAGTGCGCTGGACACACGCGCAGCGTGTTTGTTCCGGATTTCGGACCCCAAATCCAGCGGCGGCAGAGTCCCGCCTGCCCACCCGTCCCCGTGGCCAGGGGCCAAACCCCACACGGTGAGTCTGAGAGCTCTGAACATGTCAAGGGCATCACAGTGAAGCAAGGAATGCAAAAACACAAACTCCCGGAGTACATCTGAGTATGTTTATTGTGCCCGGACTACA